ATAATCTCTAAAAGGCTAGGTGTTTTTTCATTGCCCAGTGCAGTTTCTTTGGTAAATAAGTATTGACAGGTCCCTTTGGGAGAGGATAGATGGAAGGTTGATAATTGTGTGTGCGTGAGTGTGTGTGTGTGAAGTAATTTCAGGATTCTTCTTTAAGGCCCCTGGTTTTCCTTCATTAGGGGGCTCAGGGTCTGTGAACTAACATAGGGTCCCTATGTAAGGCAACTGTAACAAGGAAAGAGAGAGTCTCCAGACTGCCCCATCAGATTGGGGCAAAAATAGGATATTGGGCTCTAGCTATGGTTATAGGAAATATTAACCATGCTCTGTTAACCGGATTTACCTTGTTCTGGTTAAAGAAAGGACAGTCTAACCTGGCTGGGAGTTGTATGGGGAGGGGGTGCCCCCAGTCAACCTTGGAATGCGGTCCATTCTCATTCAAGAACTGCCTATTATCATGGAAAGATTAACCTTATTGACCAAACAATGGAGTCCCATCCCAGCCTGCATAGCCTACTTCCCCATGTAATCTTGGTTCCATCCCATATAAGCAGCTGGCCTATGGGGGGCTGCAGAGCAGATCTTCGTGGGTGACCTGCTGCTCTCTCAACTTGCCAGCAGTATTGAAATAAACGCTCATATAAGATTCAACCCTGTCTCTGCTGAATTGCTTCAAGTAGTGACAGGCAGCCTAGGCTTGAGCTGTAAACCAAGGTCCAGTGGAGTTTGGGATTCGGGTCTTTGAGTTCTTGACATCCTTCCAGTCAACACCACTGCAATTCTCAAGGTAAGCTCTTTATTGATGCCCAATGTTTATAGAAGGGACTTGCTGAGGCTGTGAGTCAATCGACATTATAGATTAGCTCTGCATTATAGTGCAGGTTTGATTTTGGCTAGTTTTATATTGCTGCTACAAAAAATCAGACATTCATTTTAGCACAGACATAGGAAGTCCCAGCTTAAGTTTTTGCTTTCAGCCAAGAATTAATAATTTGAGTGTGTTATTCTCTTTAAGTTTTTAAATATTAGTCACATCACTCTTCAGTGCTGATTTCTCATGTTGTTATGTATGGCAGTACCAGTGTGGTCCCTCAAGGCTTGCTTTTTAACAGATACTGTAAAAATTAGAATTTGATTGGTTGCTTTTCCACTCTTAGCTAAGAGTTACCAAATTTCCATTCTTGAATGCTCACTGCCTTTACGTCAGCTAGGTTATGTAATCAATCCTAGATTCCCCTCAACTCCAGAAGATCTGCTGTCTGAAGCCTTCTCCTGGTAATAATTGCTGATCAGATTAGGGCTCAGACATAAATTGACTGTGTTTATCTTAGGCAGAAAAGGAATATCAAGTTTTTCATGGGATTGATGGGAAAACTGTTGAAGCAGACTCAGAAAATGCACTGAAATGAAGGGACTCTGGACAGGTAGAACCACAGAAAATATGGGCCAGGGTCTTTGGGCTCCACTGCTCTTCTCAATGGGTACTGAATGCTGTTATGACCAAGAATATTGGCAGGGATCTCAAACTTGTTCTTGGCATCCTGATTAGCTGAGTTTAGGTCCTGTACCATGTCTTCCCTAGTTGACCGGGTCCAGAGAAAGCAAGTATTGACTTGGTCTTTGATGTCTGTAGGAAAGGGACTCTACTTGCACCTAATAATAAAACAATAACAGATTACTCAGATTTAGAATATGAATATATACATAATGGCATTGACATGACAACTGTGGTTAACCTCAGCACTGGGCTGATCCAGGCCTGCCTATAAAAATGACCTGAATCCTATTGCATTGGAAACTGCAGTGATCCATAAACATGGACTACTGTGCCTGTTCTGTTTGTTGTGAAGCCTTGATCTGGGGGGTTGCTCCTGGACTGGGGCTGTTGAGCTGGCATGCAGATTTGGGGCCTGTGTCCTGCATGGGTGTGGGAGCAAAAGAAACCTCAAGGAGCTGTTGAGTGTTGTATTAGTTTCCTATCACTGCTAGAACAAATTAGTGCAAACTTAGTGACTTGAAACAACATAAATTTATTACTTGATACTTTTACTAGAGGCCTTCCGTTCACCAGTGGGGTCCCTCGGCATGGCCTGTGGGAATCGGCTGAAACTGGCAGTCCAACATCCCCCGAGGCTCGCTGTCACTCCTCTGTGGGCACCGCTGCAGCTCGCCAGCCATGAGCCCAGCATCTGGTGTCCCCTCAGTCAGCTGACCAGTGCTCCTGCTGTGGGAGCACACTGACCACCAGGGAGTACTTCCTGTGTTGAGCGTCTGCTCCCTAGTGGGCAGTGCTTGTCACAGCGACCATTCAGCTTTTATATACTACACGGATCTGACACAGATCTCACTGAGCTAGGATCAGGGTGTCAGCAGGACTCTGTTCCCTTCTGGAGGCTCTAGTTGAACATCTGTTTTCTCACCTTTTCCAGGTTCTAGAGACTGCCTGCATTCTTTGGCTTATGGCCCCTTCCTCCATCTTAAAGTCCACTTTTAAGGACCCTCTGGTTACTTTAGGTCCATCTGGACAAACCAGAATAACCTCCCCATCTTAAGGCCAGTTGTTTATGAACTTTAATTCCATCTGCAACCTTAATTCCCTTTTACCATTTAATGTAACATATTCACTGGTTTTGGGGATTAGGATGTGGACATCTTTGGGGGGACCATGACCCTGCTTACCACAGGCATCCTGATGAAATGAAGGGCTTGTTTCCTGTCCTTTATCCTTCTACCAAGCTATGTAAAAGGGGAAGCAAACCTGAAATGTATCTTGAATTTAATTGCCAATTTGAATCTGCAGCCACTGCTTTGTTGATTAGAACAGTCTTGAGAGGGCAGATTTTTATCGCGGGCATTTTCACATGTTCAAGCACAATTTGTTAAGTCTCTACAGGAATCTACTGTTATTCTGGAAATGGACAAATTTCCTAATTGTGTGGTCCCCAGGACATCTTTTCTTTCTAAAACCTTGAAAATAATTCTAAGATAGGATGCTGGGCAATGAGTTTCTGGGACTCTGGTAACTATTCAGACCTTCAAAGCTTTTGATTTTTCTTGGTGAACAGAAAAAATTGAAAACTACTGGTTTCTTGGAGAAGAAGAGTGCTTTTATAAAAACCTGTCTGATATAAAATTTACATGAAGCTAATATACTAGGCTGGGCTGCTGTAAAATTATTTTCATTGTTGCATTCATTGTGTCAACCAGATCCAGGCTCCAAATATGCTATTCATGTAAAAATTTCATTTCAGCTGTCAGGGTAATCAAAATGTAAAAATTTCATTTCAGCTGTCAGGGTAATCAAAATGATTTCAAAAGCTTTCCTTGAACACTGACTTGAAATAAAATAATAAAATATGCTATCAAATGCCAGAGTCTACTTAAGAAAGGTACCAGATATGGGTAGGTTTTACTTTTTAAAAAAGTAAATTGAAAAAATCCTTCACTTTGATATAATTTAAAGTAACTGTTCCTGACAGGTATAATTCTAGAATAAATCAGGTGGCTTTTCAAGCTAAAATTAGATTTGGGAGTGCATAATTAAACACACAAAATGCAGAACAATATTTCATTTATTTAAATTATCTTTTGATGCCACAGTTTGCAATGTGTATTGGTATTTTTATAATGTTGTTGGATTGCACAGGCAGAGAAATAATATGACTATAAGTTTTATCTTTTAAGATTTTGACACCACAGATCTGTATTTCTAAAATACCACAAGCTCCAGATGTCTATAAGCTACATGATCTTATTATTCTTTTACAGAATAAAAATGTTGTTGAGGTTGGGGATGACATAAATATGGAAATGAGAAACAAATTTTGGAGAGGACTCACTGAGTAGTCAAAAGGCTATGCAAAATATTGTTCAAAAGGAGCTTTTGTTTTAAAACAATGCCTCGCTTAGTCAGTGAAAAATGAAAACAACCCTAGAACACAAGGCCTAATCTTTTCAGAGACATTATGGGGATAAAAATGCCAGGTTGCCTATTGTGTGAGTTTGCCGCTCCAGAGCATTAGGGATGGACAATTTTCATCCTCCTCGTGCCTTTTCTGTATTGAAAGACTCTTGGCAACCTTCCCATCCATCCTCAGGCTTCCACGTCTGACTGCTGCTGTATTCACATCTCAGAATTCCTTCCTGCTCTTGGTGTTCATTTATCCATCCATCCTTCCATCCAATAACCTTTTGTTGAGCACCACTTTATAGGAAGTTAATTATAGAAGACTCCATAATTGAGAATGGTGTTTATCTGTTACCTAACCACTCAGACATAGGGAAAACTTAAGGGAAAAAGTGAATCGATCCACTCACCAATTTCCAGGGTCCGGGCCTTGCCATTATTCATTCTTGCTGACTACCCTTATGAATTCCTCACTGTGTCAGGCATTGGCGGGGGAATTAAGATAATAGCAAGTGGGGATCAATCAATTGGAATGAGAATGGAGGATGTGGAGACGGAGAGGGAAGCTAGGAAAAAGTTGTGAGATTGAAAATTTCCATCATCATTTCATATGCTTAATTTCTCTTAGTAGGTGCTCTTTAAATTTCCAGGACATTTTATTGCTCTATACCTAGTAAAGGCCTCCTCCCTTGCCAACCCCACTCCTGTTCTCCACTGAGGCACCATGGCTGTCTGTCTCTGTAAGAAATGTGCCTCTGATTTGTCTTCATAGAAGAGAAACAGCATGTGGCCAGGTGGCTGCTGAATTTCCCCAGAGCAAACAGGATGTGGGGGTGGGGAGAGAGGATGAGAGCTCTACTTGTGGCTAATCCTAGGAAGCAAGGCGCCTGCCTCAACTAGACAGGAGGAGGCGGAGACAACTACAAAAGGCCTCAACCCAATTTTTTAAATGGCCCAATGGGAGACAGCAAGACCTAGGCGGCCTATTAGGAAATAGGTGACAAAATAGTACTTAGCCAATGAGGAACGGAAGGAAGGTCTAAATAAATAGGCATATTCCTGGTCTCATGTGTGTTCCTGTACAATGGGCGCCCGCTCTGGAGAGTATTAAAGTCTCATTTTCGCCATGCTTCTGTTCCCTAGTCCGTCATTTGAAATTTGGACAGGTGAGCCATTTCTCACAGTCTCTAATCTCTGGATTCAACTTTTCTGATATGTCTCATCTACATGTGTTATGTCCCACTCTGATATGGCAGAGTCCTGTCCTAAGGGCTAGTTTTCCCACCTTGATATGAAAATACATAAAAGTGGACATTCAGCAATGCAGCAACCCTAGTGGCTTTAATGGAATTTAGCAGTCAAGGCTTTCACTACCAAGCACACATACTATGTAAATGGTTACCTATTAGTAGCCTTTTTTTTTTCTTAAGGATTAAAATGGTCTCTATTTGCAGATGATGCAATTGTTTACCCAGAAATTCCCAAGGAATCTGTCAAAACCATTCCTAGAAATAATAAGTGAGTTCAGCAAAATTACAGGATACAAGACAAACATACAAAATCAATGGCATTTCTCTGTACCTAAAATTAGCACAAGAACACCAAAGTTAAAAATACAATACTATTGCCCGGCTGGTGTAGCTCAGTGATTGAGCATTGTCCCATGAACCAGGAGGTCACCAGTTCGATTCCTGGTCAGGGCATGTGCCTTGGTTGCAGGCTTGATCCCTAGGTAAAAAGGAAGTAGGCAGAAGGCAGCTGATTGATGTTTCTCATTGATGTTTCTATCTCTCTATCTCCCTTCCTATCTCTCTAAAAATAAAAGAGATAAAAATATATTTAAAAAATAAAATAAAAATACAATACTATTTACAATTACTTAAAAAAAAGGGAGAGAAAACTTCAAAATACCAATGAAGAAATCAAAGCAGATCCAAATAAGTGGAAAGGCATACTTAACAAATTAGCAATAAAATTCAAGACACATTTCAATTCTCTCCAAATTGATTTACAGTATTAATATAATTCCTACCAAAATTCAAGCACATAAGTTTGTAAGTGTATACAAGATCATTATTAAATTCACATGGAAAGGTAAAGGACTGAGAATAGCCAAAACAATCCTGAAAAAAAAAAAGTAGGAGGAATCAGTCCACCCAACACCAAGACTCACCACATAGCTACAGCAATTAAGTCTATGCAATATTGGTAGAGGAATAGACAGATAGACCAATGGAACAGGACAGAGGGCCCAGAAATAGATCCACAAAATATGCTTAACTGATTATTTTATTTTTATTGAGGTGAAATTCATGTACCATTAAACATTTTAAAATGAAACAAATTAGTGGCATTTAGTACTCTTACAATGTTGTGCATTGGCCACCTCTATCTAGTTCCAAAATATTTTTATCATTCCAAAATAAAAACCCATACCCATTAAGTAGCTACTCACCATTCCTCCCTCCAACCACCAATCTGCTTTCTTTCTGTTTTTAAAAAATTGATTTCAGAGAGGAAGGGAGAGGGGAGAGAGAGATAGAAACATCAATGTTGAGAGAGAATCATTGATAGACCGCCCCCCACTGGGGATCGTGCCCACAACCCGGGCATGTGCCCTTGACCATAATCCAAGCCAGGACCCTCAGTCAACAGGCCGATGCCCTATCCACTGAGCCAAACCAGCTAGGGTGGCTTGGGCTATTTAATTAACTCCCTACATCTCTGATTCTTCATTTATAGAATGGAGGCAATAATAGCACTTACTTTATGAAGTTTTTTGGTGAGGATTCAATGAGCTGCTTCAGGGAAGGAGCCTGGCTTACGTTATAAGCGCTCAGTAAATGTGAGCTATCTTTGTTATCACATCCACAGTCTTTGAAGCATACACTCTCAATTTCATAGAGCCGTTGGACTTGCTAACATGGTTTGATGACCAGACTACCTTGATATCATTGGAAACTTTTGGGTCTTGGAGCTCTCCTAATTTAATGACTGATGTGGTAGGAAGAGGACACAGTTAATGATTCCTTCTTAGCCTCAGGCCCTCTGTAAAGGGGACTGCCACTGAAGCCATCATTTTCTAATTTCCTGCCACATCATCTGGGAAAGCAGTAACTTATTACTCAGGAGAGATGGTATTTTTTTCAGGCAAAATCAAGCCATTCTGAGAGAGGGGAAATTACCCATATCTTCTTGTCTACTGACCTTTTGGGGGAAATTGCTGCTGTTTGCTTTCTTCTTTATTAAATGACAGAAAAATACTGTAAAAGCAATTAATGGAAGTATTTAATTCTAACTATATTAAAGCCAAATTTTCTGTCTCTATTGTAGTCAAAATGGCTGATCGAATTCTTGACAGTGTGACTAGGGATTTCCATGGCTACCATTTAGGAATAAGGGAGGAGATCAAGTTCTGGGCCATAGGTACTTTTCTGACTCATTGGGGACCCCAAGGAATCTGTTTGTGGGTGGCACCTTGTTGTGGCTCTCAGTCACCCAAGTCTAGAGCTCCAAATGCCCCTTTCTACCCAAGTTGGGGCCAATTGAGATTGGGGTGACTGCTTATAGCAAAAGGACCCCAGTGAATAATAATACCATAGATTGGATTATACTTTTCAGTTCATAAAATGTTTTTAATTACATTATTTTAATCATGTTATCACTCTAAGATAAATGATCTCCATTCTAAAGGCAAGGAAACAGGTTCAGAAAGTGAAATGATTTGATAGAGCCAAGTGGCAGAGCAGGGCCTGTACCATCCAACTCCAAGGCCAATGTCCATTCCTTTGGGCCATGATATGAGTCAGAACCTTCTTCCCAGAGTCTTCCCTGCCCGCTGTGGCAGGTTGGGTGGTTGGAGAGACTGAGGCTTTACCTGTGTCCTCATTGGAAGATGTGATAGAGAACAAGATACAACTTTATGTATTTTCATGAATGACTCAGTTGCCAGGATGGGGGACCAATACTTTGTAGAAAAAAATAAACATTGTAGTCCTAGCCAGTTTGGCTCAGCGGATAGAGCGTCAGCCTACAGACTGAAGGATCCCGGGTTCTATTCCGGTCAAGGGCACATACCTCTGTTGCAGGCTCCTCCCCAGCCCGGGTCCTAGTCAGGTCTCATGCAGGAGGCAACCAATTGATGTGTTTCTCTCACATAGATATTTCTCCCTGTTTTTCCCCTCTCTCTTCCACTCTCTCTAAAAAGCAATGGAAAAATATCCTCAAGTGAGGATTAAAAAATAATACACATTGTATTTCTTCCATGAGTCCTGATTCTTTTCTTGCTGAAGTGTGAGGCTCCTCACCAGTTGCAGTAACGAAAGACACGCTCTTATTGCATATAATAACACAACCCTTCCACGGCATTTTTCCAACTGTACTGATTATTTCCCATTATGAATTTATTCTTTTCTGAGCCATTTCCTTAAAAAGCTTCTGCAATTTCATTCCCAATTATATTATTATAAGAAGTGGCTCTCCAGTAGCACAATTAATTGAGTGGGGCTGTGTCATTTTGACCTCTCACATAAAGAAAGCATCCGTCAATGTTTGTTTAGGATGAAAGAACTGGTTGTTGACTGGAGTTGGAGGGACTGCATGAGTATCCTAGATCTTTAATTATGATGAAATCACATAATTATTTTCCAATTGTAGAATTATCTCCCTTTTGTACGTGCTACTTCAAGTCTGCCACTAAGCATTTTTTCCCCTGGAAACTTTCCTGACTCTCCTGCTCCCTTTCATTTCCATCATAATCCCATAATAATCAATGCACATTTCAAGTTTTTATTTTTATTTATATATATTTTTATTGATTTCAGAGAAGAAGGGAGAGGGAGAGATAGAAACATCAATGATGAGAGAGAATCATTGATCAGCTGCCTCCTGCATGCCCCACAATGGGGATAGAGCCAGCAACCCGGGCATGTGTTCTGACCGGGAATCAAACTGTGACTTCCTGGTTCATAGGTCGATGCTCAACCTCTGAGCCACACTGGCCAGGCTCAATGGCCATTTTAGATCCACAGTGCATCTCTTGCCTCCTTTCTGGATTTTTAGTTTCTTGACTTTAATTCCAATGCATCCTACACATAGCAGCATGAATACTTTTTTCAGCTTTTATTTGTATTAGGCCATTCCCATTCTATGAAGCCCAGAATAACTATCAATCACCTCTTGAATAAAATTAACTCTCATTATATATTCTAAAGTCCTCAGTCTGTAAGCTCCTCCACTTAATGCCCCCCTTGCCCTCCCCACTACACTTGGATGTCCTACTCCAGCTACATAAACCCACCTACACTCCCCACCTCTAGTGCACATTTATACCTACCTATTAACCCATGAACCTCTGAATATCCCACCTCTCCTTTTCAGAATGCTTCTCCTCTTCAATACAAAAAATAAAAATTGGATTAACTTTAACTCAGTGTTAATCAAATTTATTTTACAAGGGAACGCTGGATAGATTCTGTCTACCCTTTGCTCTTCTAGGTCCACCCTCAACCCTCTTCTACTCTGCTACATGCTCATGAGGGAAGCTGATCTAAATGAACGATATCAACAGGTCTGCATTAGACACTGTCATGATTAGTTTTGTGTGTCAGCTTGGCTGGGCTATATTACCCAGGCACGTGGACTTGACAATTATAAAATGCTTCTGCACATTTTATCTCATTTGATCCTCTCAACAATCCTGTGAGATGGGCAATTATCTTGTGTCACAGATAATCAAGGAGATGAGCAAATAAGCAGAGATGTTCAGAGACTCCAGAGAAATTTGTCTAATTAAAGTGGAAAGTTCTCATCTGAGGATATTTTTTTCCATTGATTTTCAGAGAGAGAGTGGGAGGGGCTGACAGTCTAACCACTGAGCAACACTGGCCAGGGCTAAAGTGGAGAGTTCTTGATGAACATTAGGGAGGAATAAGGTTTCCTTCCATAGGTCAGGCAGGGCCAAATTATTTGTAATTCTGATGGTGGAGGTGATGAGTTTGATTTGATTCAAGAGGCTGCAGAAAACTTTTGAAGGATTATTTTAAAATCTTTTAATTGACTATATGAGTAATGCATGTTCAAGGTAGAATATTTAGGAAAACAAAGTATAAAGAAGAAAAACATTGTTCATAGTTTTATCACCAAGTGATATCCTGTTTTTTTCCTCTTAAAACTTGAGATTGATCAACATTCATAATATTGTGCAATGTTTTATTCATCAGACTCAGTTTCTTAACCGTGATACTGTTGACATTTGGGCAGGAAAATGCTTTATTGTTGGGTAGAGGGTTGTCTGTGTAGTGTAGGGTGTTCAGCAGCCTCCCTGGCTTCTACCCCCTAAATGCCAGTAGCACCCCTCCCCCCAGTTGTGACAACCAAAAATGTCTCCAGACATTGCCAAATGTCTTTTGGTGGGCAGAATTATCCCCAGTTGAGAATCTCTGATATAACTTCATACTGTGAGCATTTTCTCCTATATCATTAATAATCATTGAAACATCCATGTGATTGGTGTACCATACTTTCTTCACTCATGTTTTTTTCTGTTGGCTGTTTAGTCTAAATATATATCTATATACATTTTGCCATCACGAATAACACAATAATGATGAAATCTCTATCTCCTTAGCACCAATTATATATATATATATATATATTTCAGAGAGGAAGGGAGAAGGTAGAGATATGGAAACATAAATGATGAGAATCATTGATCAGCTGCCTTCTGCATGCTCCACTTTAGGGACTGAGCCTGCAACCCGGGCATATGTCCTGACCAGGAATTGAACCATGACCTCCTGGTTCATAGGTCGATGCTCAACCACTGAGCCATGCTGGCCGGGCCTTAGAACCAATTCTAAAAGTGCATTTCTGAGTCAAAGGGCATGGACATTTCAGGACTTCTGGTATATTTTTCTGAAAAATTGCCTTCTAGGATGGTTATATACTAGTAAATATACACATCTATTAGCCAGTGTTCCCATTTTATCAACCCTCATAAGCACTGAGCATTATCCTTAGAAACACTCCTAGTACATTTACAAATAAAAAAAAGGTACTCTGATATTTTAATTTGTACCTTTTTATCTTTAATAAAGTTTTTTCATGTGTGGCTTAGAAATTTGTTTACTTCCTTTTATTTAACTTATCAATTCTTTTTATTTTATTTGTTTAAAAATTGTTTACTTTGTCTTACCTAATTTGTAAATTGTTGAATGTTTCAATCATTAAGAAGGCAGTTTAGAAAAAACATCAGCTGGCCTGTGTTTGGAAGGACTATATTGATTTTGATTTCTTTTTCTCAGGGGTATTGTTTTCCCAATTTTCAGCTCAGATTCCATTTCCTGACTATGTCACAAAGTCATTCAACATTGCAAAGGAAATCTAACTTATTCCTTAAAAGAAAAGCATGGAGAGAAAGTTGCAAACAGGTGTTCAATTTTCTAGTTTATAACCCCTAAGTCACACTTTATTTAGCTGAGTCTGCCAGTATTTTCTCATTACTATGACAAAATAGATTGCCACGCACTGTTGTGCTCTCCTGGAGATAGAAGACAAGAACTGGAATCCAGACCCAGCCCTTCCCCCAACTACTTCTGTGATCTTGGGCAAATTGCTCCATCTTCCTGAACCCAGCTCCCCTTATTTGTAAAATAATGTGGTGACTGAAGCTGATCTCTCAAGCATGTTAGAATTCTACAAATTTGTGTTCATTGGAGGGGAAGAAAATAAATAACTCAGCAGCAACAACTTGGAGTTTTGCTTTGGGTTGGTAAAGAGGAGGGATGCAATTCTAAAATAATGTAATAACAAATGGCAAAACGCAGCACTTGTATTTGTATTCCAGTTATTAATGAACTTCACTTCTGTTACATTTTACTATTCTGGAGCCCTTTTTGTTCACCAACAGTGGGAATTTTCCCAAAGTGCTGAATGTTCCAAGGGCAGAGGTAGAATATTTACATAGTGCTGTTGTGTAGGCAGGAAAAGCCACAAAATTGGCTTTGCCAGTGATATAATATATATCATTGTTATTGTTACTGGACTGAAGGCATCTGCTTGCTTGGATGCATCATAGCCCAATAAAACACCAGCAAGAGTTTGCAGCCAAGAAAGTAAGGATTTATTAAGGAGATGGCACCATCCCTGGCGTCATAGGTAGCTAATGCTCAAAGACCTGACTTTCTGATGGCTTCCAAGGGATGGATTATATAGGGGGAAAAAATCATTAATCATGGTGACTAATAGAGTTAGGGTAGTGGTCAAGTTCGTGGTCTCTACTGATTGGTCAGTGCTAGGGCAGGCCGTATCTAATCAGTGCATCTGGCCCTGAGGTCAACCATGGCGTTGCTTCATCTGGTTTTGCTGCTTTTCTGGGCCTGGAGCTGAAACACAACTGAGGCCTAGGTGTTATCTCTAGTTTGACCAGAACTCTGTCTCTGTGGTCAGCAGACTTGTAGGGGGTGGGGGGTGGATTATTCAGGGGAAAAGTCATTAACCATGGCGACTAAAAGAGTTAGGGTTGTAGTCTCTACTGATTGGTTGGTGCCAGGATATGGGTAATTGATCACTGCATTCAGTCCTCATATCAGCCATGGAGTTGCTCTATCCAACTTCACAAGGATTTGTTCTGTGGGGTCATTCCACTTTCCTGTTCCAGAGCTAAAACACCAATAGACCCAGGGGCTTGTTCCTAAGACTATTGGATGCTGACCAGAACCTCACTGTCCTGATGGCCTAATGATTTATTTAGCAAGGGAGAGGGAGGTGGGTGAGTCAGGTACTAGGTGTGGCCAGTCTGAGTCAGAGGAAAAAAGTCAAAATAAAAGATTTTGATTAAAGAAAAGAAGGTTCCTGTGCTATTATATTATATAGATGTTACAATGAAAATATTATGTAATACACATAAAATATAACAAATATATTGTCTTATATGTACATCTATATCCATCCATCCATCCATCCATCCATCCATCCATCCATCCATCCATCCATCTATCTGCTTATTGAGTGTCTTCCCCACTGGAATGGAAATTCCATGAGAGGAGAGACTTTGGGATCCTCAGCACATAAGACAGTGTCCAGCACATGGTATCTGCTCAGTAGGTAACTGAAGAACAGATGCAAAAAGAATAAGTATGTTACAATTTTGTTTATCAGTTATACCTCAATAAAACTGGAAAAAAATGAATTGGTGAATTGGATATCTTTGCAGCACGTACAAATATAACACGACTATAACTTACTCAGAGTCACAAGCGCTTCCTGCTTATAGTTTTGTGTCCATGGAGCTTGAACCCTAATCATGTTTCTCAAAATGTGACCCCTGCAAAGAACCCCAGCATTTGTAGCTATTTTTGATTTAACTAAAAGAATGAGATCAATCATATTTGCGAATGGTTGACTTAATGAATGAACGGAGAAATGAAACAAGTGAGCTCACACATAGGTAAAATGAACTTGGCTAAAAAGAAATAATTTTAAAGAAGAGTTTGGGCTGATCACATTGTAAGCTATAAAAATGTCAAATCACTATATTGTGATTTAACACCGAAACTCATATAACCAATATAATATTGCATACCAATTATACTTAAATGAAAGATTTTAAAAAGAAGAGTTTGGATTATATAATTTTCCTCTGCCATCATTCAAATGTTTTTTTTTAAGTGTTTTTATGAAGACAATTTTGGAAATAAGCACTTAACAATATGATTATCATTTATTAGTACAGAAATTCATGAAAACAAATGCAGTCAAATTTTTTTATTACTTAGGATATATTAATGCATGTTTACGCATACAGTAATAAGGATGACGAAACTACAGATATAAATATCTATAATAATAAAAGCATAATATGCTAATTAGACCGGATGGTCTTCTGGTTGAAGCCGGGGCTGTGAGAGCCGAGGCAAGCTGCCGCGGCTGCAAAAGCCAAGCCCCTTGCACGGATTTCGTGCATCGGGTCTCTAGTATAAATATAATTGTAGCTATAGATATAGATATAGGAGAGGGAGCTCAGTTGAGGACTGAATAACAATGAGAACCATTGGACTCTATTTGCTGTCTCACTTGTAAAATGAGAATGAAAATTCTGTCAAAGATGGTAAAGGAATAGCTATGATTGCAATGATTGCAAGTCATTTGCAAAATACAAAGAGATTTTGTGAAATTATCATTGCAGCAGCAAGCAGTTTCAAACTTATGTCAGAGAACTCCATTTTGCTATGAAGTTGTAGACAAGCAATTGTAAAGAGCATCCTATTTAGGCACTATGTAATTATGTGTAAAATTTGTTTCAGAAGTTCAGTAAGGCTGATGCCTTTGAGGCATAGGGCCATAAGTTTGCTAACTGTTTTCAAATGGACAGTCAAGGTGTGTGGGCAGTCAAATAAATACTCAAAAGTAGTAAGATAAAGGATAATTAATTTGAATTTCACACTCTCTTCAGAGACAAACTTCTTCAGTCCCTAAACATGTTACTACTTCTTAAAATGAATTACCATTTTCTCTGGTAACTGAAGGCAATTTGCAGCATTTAATAAGCATTCACAATGTGCATTTGGCATTGAGCTTGTATTTAAGATTTATTCCTCCAAAAGCTTTCATTCAGCCTGTTTTGAGGTTCTAATGACTACATTGACTGTGTCTAATTAATTGCAGCAGAGACTAGTGAGCCATTCACCACACTTGTTTACTTTCTGCCTAGACACACAGCCGGACTAGGTTTCCCAGATTGCAGTTAGGTACAGTTAGGTGTGACTGAGGGCTGGCCAGTGGAATGTAGGTGGAAACTATGTGGGTCACTTTCAGGCTTGACGCATTATGACTTCCCATGTGATCCTCCACTCTAAGGTGTCGAAGTCTTTGTCAGCCTGAACCCCTGAGAGACTCTATGGAGCAGATACCCAACCCACATCCCTAACCTCTAGCTGACTGGACTTTATTTGATCAGCTTTGATTGTTTAAACCATTGCAATTCCAGGGCAACTAGCATTATCATAACTAACATATAGGATGGAGACTGAAAACACTCTGGAACAGAAGCAACAGAAACACATAAGTGATCATTACAATTGTAAAAATAGAAACAACAAAGGTATGAAAGCATGCTTGACCTCTCCCACTGTAGTGATTTAGGCCAGTCTATTTTCAAAATATTTCAAAATATTATGCAGCAGTTGCCCACACGCTGGGAAATAATTGAAGTGGGGCCTTAATAAGATCTGATTCTTAAAAAAATTCAGCTAAAACACCTTTAATGAAGAAGAATACTTCCCTATTTATACTTCAAGCAAGAGGTTTTATTGCCTTTTTTTTTTTTTTTTACTTATTGTAGTAACTTATTAAAGTTGGGGGTGTGGGGAAAGGAAAGAGAAAGAAAGGAGACATCTAAGGGAATAGCTATTGGCTTTCTCTAAGTGGATTTTCTGGTTCAGGATTTGATCCAAATAAAGTTGGAGGGGTCTTGCTGGGTATGAGCACTCTGGAAAGAGGCACTGTGCTAGCCTAGATCAAATATCCTTAGCAACCATTACAAGAAGAACCCTTGGGCACTCCAGAGTGAGAAATCCTTCCTTGAGTATCATAAAAATGCAGCATAGTGAGAAGGAGTGAGAAATATAATTAACAGAATGATGTAACATCAAAACCTGCACCCTGAAGCTATTGGGCAACAAAGAAGAGAAAAAATAAGATGTTTTGTGTTGAGTGAAAATTGAGCATTTCTTCTGCCCTCTTATGATAGCATCAAAGCTTCTCTTATTTTAATACAGAATTTGCAACCATAGTAAAACAAAGACTTATATTTTTGATATTTATTTTATATATTTAAATGCCATTTAACAAAGAAAAATCAACCAAAAAAATGAGATCGCGTGTCACCTCTGACATAGGTTCGCCCTCACTGGCCTAAGCCATCAATCAGACTTCCCCTGATAGCTCCCAGACTGCAAGAGGGCGCAGGCTGGGCTGACCACTGCCTCCCCCCCCCCAGGTGCACAAATTGTGCACCAGGCCTCTAGTTATATTAGAAAGCTCTGCGGGAACATGAATCATACAATTGTAACTGGTTTAACCATGTATCTTGTAGTCCAAATCAGGAAGAGAGGAAGGTCTAAAATAAATAAAATGTTTATTTATTGACCAACGATTTGGTTTTGTTATACTGAGGGATCCAAAAATAGTTTTCTTAGAAATAAAATCTTTCAAAAATAAAAGTAATGTATATGTATATATATTAATACAAAATGAAAACATTTGCATATTGATAATTTTGACATTAGAAATAACAGACACAGCAATCATTCTTGCATATATTTACATATTTTAAAATTGAGGTATAGTTGACATATAACATATTTGTTTCAGGTGCACAACATAATGATTCAATATTTATAATTTACACATTTTTATTAGTTTCTTAGCTATAACTCTTCTCTAAGACTGTGCCACTGATGCTTATCTAAAATGTATTTTAACATGATTTTATTGTTTTTTATTATTTTTTCATAAAATTGGCTATAATTTTCTTTAAGTTTGCATTTATGTGGTTGATAACTTGAGATTGTTGGCACATCAATCAACTCAATCTTTCGACCATAATATTTTTAATTGCCAATTTATCCTATAGATTCTAAGCAAATTCTGCTAAATAGGCAAATTCTCATCTCTATTTTTGTGAATATTGAAATGTATACATATTTAAATGCAAGTAATTTTTGACAGGTGCTATCATTTTGCCTCCAGATATTTTCGTTTTCTTTCTTCTTTTTTTAAAAATTTTTAAATTAATTTTCAGTGAGGAATGGAAAGGGAGAGAAAGAGATAGAAACATCAATGATGAGAGAGAGTCACTGATCAGTTGCCTCCTGCACACCCCACAGCGAAGACTGAGCCTGCAATCCAGGCATGTGCCCCAACCAAGAATCGAATCCTGACCTTTTGGTTCATAGATTGATGCTCAACCATTGAGCCACACTGGCTGGGCACTTCCAGGTATTTTCAACAAATATTTTATAAGACAAAACTTATCTTAAAAATTGTCTATTTTTTATGATTCTTTTGCAATGTCACCAAATTTAGATGCTGCAACATCATAAGCTTTATCAATTTGAATGCATTTACTGAAGAATATATGGATTTACCCAATTAATAATAGGAGTGCCATCCAAAGGGTCTTACCACAGCAAGCAATCCCAAACACAATAATATAATCTCAAAATTAAGTAATGTACACGATTTGAGGTTCTCTCTCTCTCTCTCTCTCTCTCTGGTTTCCTTCTTGCATTTGTATATATATGTATTAATGACTTCTGTCTGCAGGCTTTATTTTAATCACTTTTCAATTTGTTAAAAACTTAAATATTTTGATTCTCCATTTGCGGAATACTTTGACTAACGATTTTCAATAGAATTTTGGAAAAATGCAACCAAAATTTAGAGAACTTTTTTCACACTCACAAATATCTTATACCATTGGAAGACTCAAAAGCTCAAACACTTCTCTAAAATCTGATGGATGAGGGTAGCAAAGAAAGAATGTATTGCCGTGATGATTATTATGCTTATTTTTGTGTTCAACATTGTCACAAAATTTTTGTAGTTCAATTACTCTGTGTATATATAGAAACATATTTGAAGTTTTGACAGCTACAGCTTCTATTTTGGTTAGTGGAATACTCCTGCTTGTTTCAGCACAATCATGAATAATGTATGTAGCAAACCAATTCCAAGAACTTATTTTCTCCATAGGTTTCTTAATGAGATAATGTCATTATTTGTACCACATCACTGTCCTCCATGAAATAAAAAAGTGCATGTTTCATATAAAAACAAGTACCTTAATCTGACATATTAAACTTTATAACTGAATTTGTAATAGCATTTATATCAGATGTTTCACTTTCAGCTTTACTTTGATTTCATGAAGTGGATGGAACAATGAAATCATAATTGGTATTAACTGATTTTCCATTTGAAACATCTGAAATCATTGATATAAACTTAGCATCATTTAACTGTAAAGTTCTGTTCTGCTAATTGACCCATCACATTAGCTGCAATGTTATGTGCACCAGAACATTTGGAATGGAAAATCAAAATAAAGAGTAGACATTTGGTCAAAATGAATAGCTTTGCTGCATACAGTGTTACGTGTTCATACCTTGAGCAGATGCTTGTGTTAAATTATTTTCTTTAGCTACAGACTTTTTAAAATAATGCATTTTGAAGCAGATAACGGTGCTTTTAGTAGTTGGACTTCTGGTTTTCAGGATCCTTATTGTAGATGCTAAATGCTAATAAATATTTTGTGCAAATTTTACAATCATCAATACCTTTCTTGAGGAAAGAAAGTTCAGTACTTATTTTTTTTTTTGCAGCAAAGGGGATGCCATTCTTTGTTTTTGTTTTTTAAATATATTTTTAATTGATTTCAGAGAGGAAGGGAGAGGGAGAGAGAGAGAAACAACGATGAGAAAGAATCATTGATCAGCTGCCTCCTGCATGCCCCACACTGGGGATGATGCCGGCAACTCAGGCATGTGCCCTGACCAGGAATTGACGCATGACCTCCTGGTTCATAGGGTGGTGCTCAACCACTGAGCAACACCGGCTGGGTAGTACTTAATTTTTTGGTAAACATGTACTTTTTGTGAACTCACTGCTACGGAAGAATTAATTGCAAAGTAAAAAAAAAATCTTTGCCAAACAATAAAATAAATAAATGGTTGAGATTTACTCCTTACCATAAATGGCAAGAGCACTATAAAAAGAGCATTCACATTACTCTCCACATGGTCTACAGAAGGATTATTGGCCAGTTTCTATTTCCCACACAAATTTCACCTATCTTAACCTTAATTTTCTTGTGTTCCCACCAGCACCACTAACTGGAGACCTGTCTCATTTGTGTATTTCTCAGGCTAATAAGGGAGTGAGATGTGGGACTAGATGGCTCACCATTTGACTAGCAGGGTCAGCAGCATCAAATACTTGGCCTGGCCGAAACCGGTTTGGCTCAGTGGATAGAGCGTCGGCCTGCGGACTGAAAGGTCCCAGGTTCGATTCCGGTCAAGGGCATGTACCTGGGTTGCGGGCACATCCCCAGTAGGCGATGTGCAGGAGGCAGCTGATCGATGTTTCTCTCTCATCGATGTTTCCAACTCTCTATCTCTCTCCCTTCCTCTCTATAAAAAATCAATAAAATATATTAAAAAAAAAATACTTGGCCTGCCACCACCACCCAGTTCTGCAAGGGGTTAGCTGTCTGAGGGAGATTGTTTGCAAAGAAGCCACATCTTTGCACTTTTCCCGTCACCAGACTTGCTTTGACCAATATCAAGTAGTGGAAGCATCCTTGTAGGATTTTGAATAAAGGTGTCAAGGCACTTTATAGCTTTCTCTTTCACTCTATTTCCTGCCCTGAGATCACCATGGCCAGGCTAACTTCCTTGTGGATGAGAGCCACATAATGAGAGCGAGGACCAGGTGTCAGCCAGTACCAATTGTCAGACATGTGAGTGAGACCATCTTAGGCTAGCAGTTTAAGGCCCTTTCTGGGGGTCCCTGAGGTCACAACTATTTTCATAATAATACTAAGACATGTGCCTTCTTTGCTCATTTTTCCCCAAGTGTACATTAGAGTTTTTCAAAGGCTACATGATGTTTGATGACATCATTGCTCTGTTGGTTCATAGAAAATGTGTGCTTATGTATCCTGGTTTTTATTTTATTTTATTAAAATATTTTTAATTGATTTCAGAGAGGAAGAGAGAGGGGGAGAGAGAGAGAGAGAAACATCAATGATGAGAGAGAATCATTGATTGGCTGCCCTCTGCACGCCCCCTATTGGGGATCGAGCCCACAACCTGGATGTGCCCTTGGCCCAAATTGAACCAGGGACCCTTTGGTCCGCAGGCCGATGCTCTATCCACTGAGCTAGACTGGCTAGGGCATTATAACCTTTTTTAAAATTCAGATACAGGGAAAGCACATAGCACTTACTTTGCAAAAGCTACGCTCTCTCATACAGGCCTTCAATTGAATAGTCTGGGGAGGTGAGGCATGGATTTTCTGCTGGCAGCTCCGTAGAATTTTAGTAGTTGGTGATAAAACTTAGCTAAGTTTTCACCAAATATACATAGGTGAATAAAAATGGAGCATGTGAAAGAAAACATTGACAATAGTCGGAGCATTGCTTTCTTGTCTTTCAATTTCCTTTTTACTTAGAGTGGTGGGTGCCCTCACTGCTCTA